AGTGTTGGAAAACAATTTAAATGAGGTTTGCTGAAAGCTTTTTCTAACTCGGGCAGGCGTATAAATAATTCTATAATTCTGGGTCTACGTGGGAACCAGGAAGTGAAAGTCAACAACATTAAGTCAAGAAATAGGAAAAATTGTGAACTTTTAAGTGGAGGACAGAAATAAATGACCCATGAGAACGCATGCCATCTGCACAAAAGCAAAAAAGTTATTTGTGGGCATCTCACTGAAACTGTGGGGAGGAAAGATCCTGAGTGAGCAAAGTATGGTAAATGGAAAACAATTAGATATTTATTTATTCACTAACTATTTGTTGAGGAGTTGCTATGTGCTAAGCAATGTTTTAGGCCCTGGGAATAAAGCAGTGAACAAAACAAAGAGAATCCCTACTCCCTTCGAGCTTCTATTTTAGTTAGTAAGTTTTAGTAAGCTCAGAGCTTATAAAAGACAAATAAATATATAATATGCTATAAATCCATGCAGAAAACTGAAACAGAGTAAAGGGATAAAGAGTTGAGGGAAGCAGCTATTCTTGATGGGACAATTAGCGAAAGCTTCTGCGAAAAGGTGGCACTTGAACAAAAACCTCAGTGAGGTGAAGCAGTGTGCGTTGCCCAAGATTGCTAATGCTGTTGTACTTAAAGGTAGTGACTTTATTGAGACAGTTCTTTACTGTTATATTTCAGTGAACATACAAAACATATGTACAAAGTTTCATAGGTTTACTTTCCTAAAACATATTATTATAAAGATTTTCAAACATTTGTTACAGTGGCCGCGCACATGCTCGCTGCCTAGATTCTACTGTGACTATTTTACCGCCCTTGCTCATTACCTGTCTACCCATCTATCCATCCCTCTCCCATTATAGGTGTAATTTTAATCTTGGTGTCCTTACCCTTTATTCCATAAATTATTGTTTAAAATTTTTAAAAATTTATTTCAATGGATTCAGGAGGTACAAATTTTTTTTGTTATGTGGATGTTTGCATAGTGGTGAAGGCTGGGCTTTTGTGTACCCACAGTGTACCTGTCACCTGAATAGTGTACATTGTGCCCAAATTCTTAAGCTAACCAGTCGTCGATTTCTTTTGCCACAGGGGATTTTGGAAACTTAATGTCCATGAATAGGAAGAAATTTTTTATTCATTTTTATATTATTATGGGATTTAATTTTATATTGTGTGGCTTTATACATGTGATTCCTCAGTCCATTTTGGAGTTTATTTGAGGTGTGGTATAAGATAAGGATCTTTCCCTTTTATGTTTTTTCCTAAATAGCTCATTTCCCCAACACATTTGTTGAACAAATGGGCTTTCCTGTGTTGGCTAGTCACTGTTTAAAAACAATACTAAGTTTTTATATATGCTTTGTTCTTTTTCAAGATGTCTCTTCTGTTCACTTGATTTGGATGTTTTATTTTACTAGCACCTCACTTTTACAATTTTGTTTTATTATATATTGTAATATGAAGTTGGGTAAATCACTCTCAATTTTCTTTTTCAGAATTCTCTTAGCTGTACTACGTGCTTATTCTTGCAAATGTTATTAAAGTCACCCATGTTCTAAAATTTCTTGTTGAAATTTTAATTAACATTTGTATTTCTTTTTTTGAAAGGAATCTTTTCTCATTTATAAAACAGGGATAATAGTCTTTTAATAGGATTGTTGTGTGGATTAAATGATAACATACACTTGAAGTGTTTAATATGCTATATCAACTCAGAGCCTGTTCTGACTTTACAGAGGGCTCTAAGATTTATTTGGGCTCTACCTAATTGCAGTTCATTTCTGAAGTTTCCCAGATTCATTCTGAAGCAAGAAAAAAAACTTTATGTTGTTGCCAATTCAGAAATCAAGCACAGTGGAGGAGGTGAAGGGGCAACAACCCCGGAGAAACGTCTCCCTGCCCTGTTGCGGATGCTCTAGCATTGTTATGACTAAGTATCCCACAGAAATCCTCCACCCTCCTCCCCATTTCTACATCACCCATTCTGTATACCTAGCAGTCATCTGGTTCAGTTGACATTCACATTCATGCGTCACAGTAGGCTGGAATCTGGTACCAGTTTTACTTAGCTTTGTAGAAGGATACAGGACAGGAAACAGTGTATCGGCATGACAACGTCAAACACATCTTCATCAGGGGTCCTTCCATCCGCCTCTGTGACGTGGCTTCCCAGCCCACAGAGGACACACTTAGCTTCTGTGATGAGCGTGATGAGAGCACACAGGTAGGTGTGGACCACCCCAGCGTGGGAAGCTCAGCACAGTAGTGTGTCTTACACCTGCCCGTGAGCACAGCTTCCAAGGCCCTGCAAGGACACCCTTGGGTATCAGCAGTAACACACAGAAGCTTGTTTTCTGAAAGTCTTTGAAATTCCTGGATGACAAAACCCTCAGGCCATACATGCCTGCTCAGCCCTCATTCCGGATAGAGTTCGCTTCCAGAGTTCACTTTCACGACAACCTAACACAGAAGCCATGTCACGTTTATCTTAACCCAGTGTGTTTTAAGGAAACAGTATAAGAAAAATGATACATGTGAAATCATCTGGAGATAAGTTTGCCTGCTATAAGTGCTCTCTCCTCACCACCCCACTCCCGTTTCTGGACCTCTTCCTGGCGCTGCAGTTTTCTGACAGGACTAGGCTTCAGAACCTCTCCAGATCGCTGAGGAAACCCTGTGCCAGTCAGTTGACTGAGACGACAGGGTGCCTAAGTGATGTCCTTCAGTGAGTCCTGTGTGCCTTCTGCTTTCACAGGATGTTCATCATCCTCTCCTAGGGTCTACTCCTGCTGGTTCCGGCCACACTATTTTCACTCAGGAAAGAGAGGGCTTTGGGACCATCACTGGTGTTTCTCCATGCTCCCCCAGCAGCACTGTTTTCAGCAGAAACTCCTTCAGATTTCCACGCAGTTTCTTCCTAATGCGGTCCCTGCCTCATCCGAATCAAGTTCGAGCTCCCTGCGCTGGCACATGCCGCCCACCTTGGTCACACACCAGTCCTGTTGTAGGCCCGGAAGGCCTCCTCCCGACTCGTGCCTCTGGTCTCCCGTGCTCCACTTTCCAGTCTCGGCATCTCGGCAGAGCTAGCCCTGCTATCGGGTGCTCCTCTTCTTGAGGATGGACCCAGCTTAGTGGACATTTCTCCTTTGTATGTCTTCACAGGACCCAACTATGGCTTTCCCTAGTGCCTGGTACGGAGTAGATTTCCAATACGCGTTGCAACATTCTTAAAAGATTTAAGAGGTAATAGCTGGTACCGTACCCTAAGGTGGTGTTAGCCAAAGTGCACGTTTCTCTACCCCCCTTCAGCAGAAGTGAATGCCACCAACAGTGTGCTTATCTAGACCCTAATCCTTCACACGAAGAATTCTTTCCTGTGAAAAGAACAGTAAAGGTAGAGAAAACGGGCAAGGCTATGTTTATTTTTCCCCAAGAAGCAGGGTTCCCAGTTTCTCTCTCATGTATGCCTGCACCTGACCTGAGAAGATTGTCTCTACCTACCAATGCTGAAAACCCTGACAAGCCATGAGCGACTGGAGAATATTAAACAAAAAGAAGGGAGGGTACTGCTTATTTCTTTCCTTGTTCTACCAACATTTTCTTAGGTTCCCAGAATGGAGTGCTAGAAATAGAATTAACTTTGAGATTTAAAACATTGCTGTAATTTTTTTGTCAAAAATTACAGTTCTGTTGTCATTTCACTGATTCTCAGTGGCCATTTTACACAGCTTCTAGGCCTGTTTTCTGTGTGGTTGCCTTGGAAGGACAGTGTAACACTCAGTAGCTCACATTCATCAAGCATTTGCTGGGTTCCAGGTGCTGTGTTAAGCACTCTGCACATCTTATTTATGCATCATAATACCCATTTTAGATAGATGCTGTTGTTAGCCCCATTTTACAGGTAAGGAAACTGCGGTACAAAGAGGTTAATTAACTATCTCAAAGTCATGCAAGGTCAAGACAGAGCCAACATAGGCCTCAGCCTGGCCCCAAAGTCAATGTTTGTACCACACTATACTGTCTCTTGTAAGTTTGATTATCTGTTTTTGTTCTGTAACAGGTATTAATATTTTCATGTACAATAGGGGATCTTTTTGCAAACCCAAATGTAACTTTTTATCTTCATGTACACTGTTAAGGTTCTTAATCCCTTCCATTATTTCTTTATTGTTAATTTATTGATCTGGCTTTTAAGAGGGGGAAAGGTGCGCTCGAATTGGATTGATTTCTTCTGTGACATTAGGGTAAATTTCTCACCAAGAAAGTTATTTTTCTATTTTCCATAATAAATAGTAGACTTTACTCCATCTCTGGGCTCCTGCCTCTCAGGGCTTGCCTGGCTGCTCTGTAGCAGCAAATAATGAAGCAGATGCTTTCGCTCCATGAAAAGCCCCAGCGCCAGTGCCTGTTTTCAGGTGTCAACAGTTGAACCATCTCCAAGTGGGTCTGACTCACCCTGTCTTGGTCAACTTCCCTCTGCATTCCTGCTGGCCCCTTAGGTTTACTGGCACACAAGGAAAGAGGAGTGAGGTGGAGACTGTTGCAGTTCTCTCTTGTCTCTTTAAATCTGAGTGCTGAATTCACTTACCTGAATTTGTTGAGAGTTGCCTATATTGTGAAGTCTTTAATCACAGAGTCTATTCTGTATCTGGGAGGGCTAATCTAGCCCCAAGCTTCCCTTTTTTCTCCCCCCTAGTGTAATGTTTGGGATATAGCCTCCCATTAGTAGTGATGTATGCTGAAAAATGAGCCAATATTTTTTGTTCCTGCTCATTTGAGTTTCAAAAATTTGATTTCATGTTATCTCATTTTAGATACTTTGTCAACTTTATTGAGGACTGAGGTCTTATTGATTCATTTTAAATATCTCTTTCACATGTAGTTCAATTTCAAAGTGTTTCACTATACTTGTTTTTGCTAAAAATGCCATCACTATAACTTCATCCTCTGGTTATTTTAACAGCAAATTTTATCTGCCTACAGGAGAATATTAAAAAGTGAGCCTCCATATCCCCAAGAAATGAGTGCTTTGGCTAAAGACCTCATTCAGCGTCTTTTGATGAAAGATCCCAAGAAGCGATTGGGATGTGGTCCACGTGATGCAGATGAAATCAAAGAACATCTCTTCTTTCAGGTGAAATTTATTGAACAGATAGAGGGTTTCATAGCCCCTGCTGGTCTCAGCGTGCTGGGCATTCTTGGTGAAATTAGTGGACACAGTCCCTCCCGAGGTCATTTCCCGCTTGTTTTCACATACGTTGCACTTTTTTTTTTTTAATGACAGGGACCCTTTAGGAAGGACCAAAATTCTACTTGTATAGACCTAAATGGAGTGGGAGTGGAGAGGATCATAATAGCATTCAATTTTCTATATAATAATTGGTTAGAGTTTCTAGGTTTCCATTTATGATCTTGTGATTTAGGCATATGGACTAAGGAGACTTTTATTATAGTCTTTACCACTCTCTGAGTTCATGAGCTCTTACTGCCACTGCATGTCACCTTTTGGATAGTGATTTCATCTATTCCTCTTTTCCTAGGAGAAATCTTAAAAAATTTTAAATCTACCTATTTCTCAGTTACATATCCGTGACACAAAGAAAGTTATTCATTGTTTTTGTCTTTGTGACAGTGCTTTTCTCATTCTGAAAAAAAGCCTGTTGAGACCATTCTACAGAGCACCAACACATCTGCTCAATTTAGTTTGCTCGATTTAGTCCAGAAAACACCAAAATATTAAATAAGTGGAAAAAAGGTTAAATTGAGTTGGCTACTGATTTCCAGGCTAAATGGTCAAACCTGGGATGCCGTGGCTTTGATTTGAAAA